AAAGGAAAAGAAAAGGAAATGGTTAAATACACAGAGTAGGGCTGACAGGTAACATCCCAAAGCTGCCTGGTCCAGAAAGCAGGCAACAAGTAAATTTCCTGACACCCACCGTGCCACAGCCTCTTGAGTGGGGTGAGAAAGAGTGGAGGAGAAACTGAAGAGATACAGCTTCTGATGTAAGTTTTTACAGGTTAATCAAATGAACCTGAAGGACTGGCCTTGTAAGAAACTGAGATATGCCAAATCAAGACATGAACAGTGATCAGTGTTGGGTTCTGGTCAGAACTCATCTCAAGTAAAAACTATCTCCGAAGATGAGAATCCTCTTGTTAAACAAATAGGCTTCAATGGGCTCACCATTGGCCTCCTGTGACTTGACTTTGCTTTGTGCTTCCTAATAGTAAGAAGTACTCCAGCTTAGATGCAAAAGATTTCCAAGGATCAAGAGAGTAGATATCTGTCCCCAGTAAGAACTATCATAATCAGGGGGTGCCCGTAGCTCAGTGGGTAGGGCACTGGCCACATATACAGAGTCTAGTGGGTTTGAACCCGGCCCAGGCCAGCTAAAACAAAAATGACAACTGCAACAAAAGAAAAAACAGGGCAAAAGCTTGAGACTCTGTCTCAAAACAAACAAAAAAACCTATCATTGTCCCCATAGCTTTTTTTTTTTTTAGAGACAGAGTCTCACTTTATTGCCCTTGGTAGAGCGCTCTGGCATCACAGCTCACAGCAACCTCCAGCTCTTGGACTTAGGTGATACCCTTGCCTCAGCCTCCTGAGTAGCTCGGATTACAGGCGCCCACCACAACACCCAACTATTTTTTTGTTGCAGTTTGGCAGAGGCCGGGTTCGAACCCACCACCCTCAGTATATGGGGCCAGTGCCCTACTCACTGAGCCACAGGTGCTGCTCCCCTATAGTTATTTTTTTAAGAGACATGTTAGGCTGAGAATTTCCCTCCAGAAAAGAACATGTAACTAGGCTCGGTGCCCACGGCTCAGTGGCTAAGGCGCCAGCCACATATACTTAAGGTGGCGAGTTCGAATCCATCCCGGGCCTGCCAAACAACAATGATGGCTGCAACAAAAAATAGCCGGGTGTTGTGGCGGGTCCCTGTGGTCCCAGCTACTTGGGAGGCTGAGGCAGGAGACTCGCTTGAGCCCAGGAGTTGGAGGTTGCTGTGAGATGTGATGCCACAGCACTCTACCCAGGGGGACAGCTTGAGGCTCTGTCTCAAAAAAAAAAAAAAAGAACATGTAACTATTCAGAAAGGAACACTGTCCCCCTCAATTCAAAATCCTCTGTAGATCCTCCTCCAGCAAAGAACAGAGAACTCACAGGCAAAAGGTAATAAAACCTTAAGCTTACTACTTCTAGAAAGGACAATTAAGGAAGTTATGAGAGCTATTTAGAGAAGTAGCAGAATCTAAGGCTAGAGATTAGAAGCCCTTGCAACCTCAAAAAAGAGAGAAGAACCTACACTCACCAAATCATCTATTTGCAGACAAAATGGGGGAGTCCCTTCTTAGTCATCCCCCTTAAGAAATACTGCAGTTGTATTTTTTTTTCTGCAGTTGTATTTATTGTGAAAACATAAAAAGAAAAAATATTGCTCACCATGGAAGGGGAAGAAGTTTCTTTACATGAAGCTGCAAACACCACCACTACTACGGTTTTGATCAAGATGAGTAAAAACAGGATAAAAGTTCAGCAGCACAATTTGGAAATCTTACACATTGCTGGTGGGATTATAAAATGATGCAACTGCTTTGGAAAATTGTTTGGCAACTCCTCAAAATGTTAAACTTAGGGTTACCACATAACCGAGCAATTCTATTTCCAGGTATATAACCAAAAGAATTAAAAACATATGTCCAGACTCAGCGCCCGTAGCTCAGTGGTTATTGGGTTCAAACCCAGCCCGGGCATGCTAAAACAATGACAACTGCAACAACAACCAAAAAATAGCCGGGCATTGTGGTGAGCACCTGTAGTCCCAGCTACTTGGGAAGCTGAAGCAAGAGAATCGCTTAAGCCCAAGAGTTTGAGGTTGCTGTGAGCTGTGACAGCACAGCTCTCTACTGAGGGCAACATACTGAGACTCTGTCTCAAAAAAAAGAAAAAGAAAAGGGCAGTGCCTGTGGCTCAAAAGGGTAGGGCGCCAGTCCCAAATGCTGGAGGTGGCAAGTTCAAATCCAGCCCTGGCCAAAAATGGCAAAAAAAAAAAGGAAAAAGAAAAAAAAAAACATACGCCCGTGCAAAAACTTGTACACAAATGTTCACAGAAGCATAATTCACAATAGCCAAAAAGTGGTAAGAACTCAAATGTTGGCTCGGCTCCTATAGCTCAACCGGCTAAGGCGCCAGCCACGTACACCTAAGGTGGCGGGTTCGAATCCCCAGCC